TGATAATTTTTCTTGAATTTTTCAGCAAGTATAGGACATTCAAAAATTACATTCTGTCATTTAAATTCTTTTACAGAACATTTGAATTTCAAAATGATGTAAGTACTTTAATCTTGTTTGGATGCACTTTTGTAATTGGATCTGCTAAAACGAATAATCTGCACTAATTATTGGCTTGTCAGAGATTGTCATAGCTCGAAACATTAAGAAAAACCTGAGAGTTCAGACCTTTAATGTTATTTTCAAAAAATTAATTCTCAGAAGTAAAGGAAAAAAAACAAAAAAACCAGTTCCCATCTCCCTATCCAGCAGGGACTATTTACCTCCCACATCACTCTTCATAATTAAACAAAAATAATTGTAGTAATATTAATCCTTTCTAATCCTGTAAATATGTAGCTGAATTAACATTTTTATATGATGACCTAATTAGTGAAACTTTTAAAGTAACTTAAATAAAAGTAACCAGGAAAAAATTTGCCATTTTTCAGAAGATCTCTGAGAGGAAGAAAGATGTTAGAGGAAAGTTTAGGTGAACATAAAAGGAATGGATGTGAAGAGAATTGCTACAAATTGTTAGGGAAAAGGCTTATTGCTTTGAATTGTGCTTTGCTGTTTCAAGTTCAATTAAAAATTCAATACAAGCATATTTCAATTATTTGAATTACTTGAATGTTCTTTCCAAGTTGCATGTGTTACCATATCAGTGGGTGTAATTAGAGTACACATGCAAGAAAATTTTTAATTTTTCGTATTTTACATGTTAATGAAGAATGTGATTGTGAGTCAGATTAATGACTTTTGAACAATCCCATAAAGACTTCTAGTGACTCTGAAAAACAGGATCACCATTCAAGTTGAGATACCTGAGAAGCCTAATTAGAACAATAAAATCCATTTTTTAAAAGACACATTGAATTACACGAATGAAAGAAAATCCATCATGTTTTCTTAATAAATATATTCATAGGTTCTTTCGTTCTCAAACAATCACAAAATTGTGGGTTTTGGTCTGGCGCGTAATTTGGATGGCGTCATTCCCATCTACACAGTAAGAGAAAAACTGAACAAACTAAAAATCAACTCTCCTCAGATTTTTAAGAAAATTGAAGTCATTTCCCACTAAAGGAAAACGTCTGCCCCCAAACATCGGAGAGAGAGTCAGGCAGGTACAAAGAATCATAGCTTACCAGAGCAGAAATTCAGAAGCAGAAACCTCTGCTGGAGCCAAAATCAGGGTAGAAAAACAAACTGGAATTGATGAAATGCTGGAGACTCAGTGTGTACGAGCTTGAGAGTTAGTTAGAAACTACAGGGGACCCCATTCTTAGGGAATATCCCACACTGTAATGAACTTTATGTTCAAAAATACTACAAGGTTCTCACAGTGAGGTTTGGAGAAAAATCCCCTCATGCTTCCAGTGTGGAGAGGAGAGGAGAGCCATTTTGAAGACTCCCAGAGCATTCTGTTCCTCTTAACAAGGCTTGTCCTCAAGTGAAACTATTTTACCAGAGCCTAATTGACCTGTGGGAAGGGACATACCCAACTCCAGCCCTCTGTAGCTTTTCTGTCTCACCTAAGGGAATGGGGCACATTTGAAGGTCACAGCCAGAGGCACAGGATCACCAAGACTGAGGCCTAATCATAGGACTATTAAAGACTTACCCTCTCCCCATACCTTACTGCCACATCAACAGGGATCTTTTATAACAACAGGAGATTACAACTGAAAGAACTCCACACCTCACATTTCTTTAAAAAGAATTTTCTCATGAAACCAAAATACAACAGGCAAGATAAAAATAAAAATATAAGAGGAAATTTTAACCTCTGACACCTATGGCTATAACAAAGCAAACACAGCCTGACTCCTAGCCAGATAAACATAAAATGTTAAGCTATAGACCTATTTACTGAGTTCCTTTTACCCAACGTATCATGTCTTTGAATATAAAATTACAAGACATTCTAAAAACCAAAAAGTAGTTAGAAGAGACAGAGTAAGCACTGAAGTCAGACTCAGATATGGTGGGGAAACTGTAATTATCAGACTGGGAATTTAAAACAACTGTGACTAATATGCTACGAACGCTAATAAAACAACTTTAACAATGATGACCAAAATCAAAACACATGTACAGATGCTCCTCGACTTAAGATAGAGTTATATTACAATAAACCCATCATAAGTTGAAAATATTGTAAGTAGAAAATGCATTTAATACACCTAATATACTGAACTTCATAGTTTGGCCTAGCCTACTTTAAGGTGCTCAGAACACTTACATTAGCCAACAGCTTGGGCATAATCATTCTACCCCATGCCTATTTTATATTACAGTATTGAATAGATCATGTAACTTACTGAATGTCATGCTAAAAGTAAAAAGCAGAATGGTTGTAGGGATGTTCAAAATACCGTTTCTACTGAATGTATGTCACTCTCGTACAATCATAAAGTTGAATAATTATAAATTAGTGACCGCCTGTACTGTGCTCTGTACTCTTAGGAATACTGCAATGTCTAGCATTATCTTTGTCCTTCAGAAATTTACAATGTTTCAGAGTTGACAGAGAAGTGAGCAAATGTTCCACCAGAATGTGATAACTGATGCAATGTTTAGTCTCTTCCCATCTACTCTTGTGCTAGAATGCTATGATTTACCCCTTGTACATTGTCAACTCTCCACTATGGACCTGCTTTCATGTTCACCTACACTCTACATATACACTTTATTTTTAGTATTAATGCAAATCAATTTATCTTTTGTTTAATTCTTATAACTGCTTTATTCTTAAGACTCTCTCAAGTTTGATATCTTCCTGTGAATGAAGTACCCATGAAGTTTCACATTTCCCCGTGATTGTGATTTTTATTCTTTTAATATCCCATTTGCACTCAAGATTAGTGGGGCAGGGAAAAATAAACCTAAAAAGCAATTTTCTAATGTTTTCATGCATTTTCCATACCTGTATCCATTTCAATATTCTATTTCAACATTTACAAATTTAACTTGCTACAAATATTTTATCAAATATTTTGAATATTTGATTTTCTGATACTTCAGCAGATTATTTTATATTCTATTCCAAGTAATAACTTGCATGTGATTTTTCAAAAGTATATTTCCTAGGAATATCTAATTTAGAGTAAATATATACTGCTATAGCATTGGCATGAATAACATTTCAGTGTTAAAATTCTTTTTCAATAAACTAAATTTCCCCTATCTTTAGCTACTCATTTTAAAGTGTAACTAATGCATTAGCAAAAGTTGAATCTCCCTTATCTCGTTGTAGCATTTCACACAAATATTATCTCTTGCTATGACAAATCTTTAAATTTTGTTTCAGCTTTCAAGTACTTACAGAATAGTTGCAAAACTATCCATTTGAAATTAATTTAGTAAATGCCTTACTAAAATGTAAATGTATTATGTCTATAACATTTTCTCCTATTTAGTAGACATGTGATCTTATAAAACTATATTTTATCAAGATATTTATATGTCTAACATATACTAATGTATTTATACTTCAGCTTTGATTTTTTTCTTAAAGAAAAAGCTCAAATATTAATAGATTCATATTTCACCTGTGAAAGAACATACACCAGGAGATTATTTCAGGAAATTTTGGAGATATTTGGTAGTAAGTTATTTGTGTTTATGGAAACATATCACATATAAAATAAGCATTGATTTTCCAAGTTATTTAGATTTTTATGTATCTTCCACCAGGCTGTACTGGTGGAAGATACAGCTAAATAAAAGACACATCTCAGTATTTTGCTCTTTATACTGACTCTTTGAGAAAGGCATTATTGGTCTAATCCGAGGTGTCAGAAAAATAACTTCTTGGTACCAACTAACTTCCAATTTAAGTATCAGAGCATCTGAAATTTTTCTCCAAAGATCTATTGCTTTGGGAGCAGTGAGAGAAAATCTTTTTTCTAGGGCAAATACAAAATTAGAACATTCTCAGAGAAAAGAAGATTTCTGTTTGAGCTCATTCATATCCCTAAAAAACTTATGAGCCCTGGGTACATCTTTTAAGAGGGAACAGCGCTGGATTAAGCCCAAGTCCTTCCACAATTGATTTTTCAAATTCTTGTGTTTGGTGACAGTTATTGGTTATTTTTTTTCTGTGTAATTCCTTAACCTCGTCTAGAGACTCTTGGTTCTAGTTTTTCCTTTCTGATCTTTCACTTCTGAGAAGGAGTTTCTAGCTCCATTCATACTTCCCTTCACACTTGTTCATCTTTTATATACACTGGCCAGATGCTTGAAGTATGATTCTTTATTCTTGAACTGGGTCACCTGACTATATTCCCTCTCTAATTATTTAGCCTTAATCTCAGTGAAGGCTGGTCTAATAATGATATTTATAAATACACATTTAAAAATTCTGATAACACAGTCTTACCAATCGTTGTTTTTTTCACTATATTCATGGGCTGCGGTCAGTTTTAATAAAAGACTGTGGTCAAAAGCTATTTTTTAATAGAGATATTTTTACCAAGGAAAGTCATTTCTAGTGCTAATGGAGTTCAGGCCAGTTCAAACTTGCTGAGGAAGCAGATTTGTCCTCCTCGGACATAGAATATGCTGAGCCCAACCCTGGAAGTAGTACTATGTCCTTGTGCAAAATAAAAGTTCTGCCAAGACCCTGACAGTATTAAGTAATTCCTCCACTGGCATCCTCTTTCCAAATCCATTAAGACATTAAAGGCCAATACATTAAGTTACTTGCACCTTGGTGTGGATCAATTTATCAGAATATTTTTCTCCTGAAAGAAAGGACTGAGGGTGCAAATGATGCATGGACAAGAAGGGAATGAGGAATGCTGAGAAAAGTGTAGCATGTACAGACAGAGAAGGAGAGATGCACTGAAGATTAACTACTCCAACCTTATTTTTCACCATGTAATTTTCTATTGTTTACTGCATATCAAAGAGAATAAAAAATTATTACAACCACAACCACCAATAATCTTTACCATAAGTCCAGGTGTGCATAAATATGTCGAGCCAGGTTCATTTTCCACGCACAGTTGATGAACACACGAATTGGGAATGCACTCAAGTTCCTTCTCACAGTGGTGTCCAGACCATCCTGTTCAACAAAATTACAAAGCAGATATGCAATTTTTAATGATAAAATAAAAGCAGTTTTGCTAATAGCTTATATTTACTAGCTTTTATCATTTGAAATGATTATGCTAGACATTTTGTACAGATCACCTCAGCATATCTTCATGATCAGTGTATCAGGTAGCTATTATTCTATCTATATTTAGTTCATGAGAAAATTAAACTCAGAGAAAATAAATAATTTGCTCTAAAATCACACAGTTAAGTATAAATGAAAGTGAGTACATGTATTGATATGTCTCAGCGCTTTTCCATGGTGCCATTCAGCATTACATATTCAAATGTCTTTACTTATTTTACTTTGGAATAAATACATGGAAAGCAATAGAATAAAGATACTTCATAATTCCCTTAATATGAATCTTAAATTCAGAGGAAAGCAACTACCATAGACATCTAGATATATGATGTTTTTTGTAATACTTGTAGTATTACAGTTAGTATTTTACACTTAGTATTTGTTATACCGTGGTTCTATAGAATATAAGTATTGTGTCTATGTACATTTGGCTGTTGGCTATAAGAATTCTTGTTAAACATGACAATCTAAAATTTTCCATACCAAAACATAGTTTGATTGTATGTATTTTGTTGGGCTTTTGCTAGTCAAACATTTCATTATTTCCATCATCAACCTATCAACCAACATTGCTAAGTACTCCATAAGCTAATATCTCAGCTATGATTTACTGGGTACATATTAGGAACATTTTTTGAAACCATTGATTCTTTCCTATCAGATAATTACTTCTAATGTATCTTAATATGCCTAACATGCTAGCCACAACACCATGTTAACCTAAGCATACTCTTCTACATAGGGACAACAGGTCTTTACAGGCAGCTCTCACTGCTCACTGACTATGCTTACTCTAACTACAACTTTTTGACTTTTCTTTATTTTTCTATGTATTGTCCAATAGCGTTTAATCTGAACCCTGGCTGTTGGGAAATGTAAAATTTAATTATTGTTTATACTTTGGAAGATATTCTGATTGTTCTTCCCTGATAAATTGCAACAAAACAATTAAATACATATTTTGAGGTACTTAGAAATAATTTATTGAAACACTGCGTTATAAGAAAAAAATAAGGCCTGAGTCTAAAAGACATGGCAATGCCTACATCAAACTTAAAAATAGCTGCCAAGAGACTAAATTTATCAAATCCTCATCCAAGACTCTTTCCACTTTGCAATGCTCTTTCATGTGCTGAGCTGATTCTGCAGGGATCTCTACTAAGGAGGCTATAAAAGGTGATATGGAAAAAAACATCTTTGCAGGGTTTATAAAAAGCCAGTAGGGCTAGTCATTCACATAGTTGAGTCTCACAAACATATTATTGAGCATAAAAACATATTGCATAAAAATACGCCCTGATAACTGCTCTTATAAAATTCAAATGCATATGAAACTTAATAACATTGCTTAGAGATGCATACATATATAATAAAACTCTAAGGAATACTAAAGGAATGTTGAATATAAAATTCAGAACAGTTACTTCAGGGAGTGGGATATTCCTGGAGGGATATAGAGGTGGCAGGAATTATTGCTAATATTCTATTTCTCAGAACACATGTAGTTATACACATTTATTACAGTGTATTTTATATTTTTTATATATTGTATCCTCTTCTGATTGAATATTTCTAAATATATTTTAAGCAATTAAAATGACACAGTTTTCCTTTGCTGCTTATCCTGTGAAAAACATGACAAAGCTTTACACCCTAAGATGGAAAGTATAAAAGAAAAATTGCACTGGACAAGTTATACAGACAAGGAAGACTTCATTCAAGAGTACTGCAATAGGAGACAGAGATTTTTACAATAGAGTAGAGAGCTTGTACTCAACCCCACTGAAATAAATGGGACAGGAACAGTTTTAAAGGCCGGGTGAGCTAACGGAAAAGTACTGGGGGGATGTTTCGGTGGGTGGGAATTTGGTCAATTTCAATAGGTCACCTGTACTTGCTAAGTGTCTCTTACTGAGGTTAGGCTTCTACTCTCCCGAAGAGACTGGGAAATAGGGGCACTATTCCAGGATTACATTTTGTTTTGATTTGTCTTTCATTGTTGTTTTTGCTGTTTTGTTTTGTTTTGTTTTGTTTTGTTTTTGAGACAGGGTCTTGCCCTAGTGCCCAGGTTAGAGTGCAGTGGTGTGATCACAAGTCACTGCAGCCTCAATCTCCTGGGTTCAAGCAATCCTCTCACCTTAGCCTCCGGAGTACAGGATTACATTTTGAAGGAATGACTCCCAGGTCCTTGGGAAACAGCCTGGGAGAAGATTAACATCTCAAAGGGACAAAGAAATAATTTACAAGTTTTCTAAAGTAAATGCTCTACAAGAAGGGAGATCAGGACTAATAGTCAGGAAGAAGTCTGTCTAAAGCCTAGTCAAACTGAGAAAAACGTTAAGGCTGTCTTGATCAAAGACAACAAACAAGGATAGAAAATAAGTTAGTTAACATTCATTACAAGAAACAGAAATCACTCTAGTTATTTAAGCAAAAAGGATCTGAAGAATGGAATTAGATGCTTACAAAATTATCAGAAGGAAGGAAAGCTGTAGGAGTAACACTAAGAACCACAGATGTGACTTTCTGGGAGATGTCCCCTCAGTCAGAATCAGGAAGATGAGAAAAAGAAAAGCACTATTAGAATTTTTGAGTTCTAATTCAAATAACCCATTGTGCTAATCCAAGGAAAGTTGATTACCAGGGAGCTGCCATTTCAATGCACCTATGCACTGAAATAGTGACTCTACAGTGAGATCTGCTGCAAAGAACCACATAGCTTCATGACATTTTTTACCAGAAGAATCTAGTAAGACACCCAGAAATGGTCTCCATCAGAGCCTTCGGATTTAAGGTATGTTTCTTATTGGCAGAACTTAATTATATTTGCAACTCCAGTTTTGAGGGAGTCTGGAAATTGTAGTTTTTAATACTCTTGCCTCCACAGTACAGGAAACCACACTACATGGGAATGGATAGTGAGTGTCAAAGGTACCCATTAGTATAAAGAAATGCATAAAATGAATAGGTGCTTATACTGGTGTGGGACAAGGTAATAGTAAGAAATGAGACCATAATAAGAAAATATAGATCAGGCAAATAAATATTTATTGAATAAGATATTTTTTAATGTTCAGAAACAAAATATATTTTCTTTTGAGTCTTATGTAGGTTTTATGTTCATTCTTAATGAGGTAACCAAATATTCAGAAAATAGTTTAGTAACTGAAAACAAAAACCAAAAATTGTCATTAGTAATCTAGGAAAAGCATTCAAATTATTATGGTGTCAAATTTGTAGTATTAACCTAATGTCTGACACATAATATAAGTAAGTGCATAAGGAATAAATGATAGAAAATAATTGTGGTGCAAAATAAAGACAACTTTAGCTGACATATTGTAATAAAATTAGAGTAAATTTTTAATTTTTTTTTGTAAAGACAGTCTTGCTCTGTCACCCAAGCAGAAGTATAGTGGCATGATCACAGCTCACTGCAACCTTAAACTCCCAGGTTCAAGGGAGCCAACCCACCCAGCCTAAAGCTAGAGTGATCTTAAATTGAAGACTAAACCAAATCTTTAAATACATTGATATATTCAGCTAGAAATATTGACCAGTTTTAATATTACTAGTCTATAACATAACAGTTATAATAGTTTGAGTTTACGAATGAAAATAAATGTCACAACTTCTAACATTTATATATCTTATTTTCATTTCATTTTCCCTCTCAGACCATAGTGATTTGTATCTGATCTTATGAATATAAAATAAAAATAAAACTAAACCTAAAATAACTTTGTCTTACTAGTTAATATATTATTTAATAATTGGATACATAAAATTATTTTCTCTTCTTAGTCTAACTCTAGAATATATAAAAAAATGTACATGTACATCTTCATGAAAATACAATAGTATACACTCTTTTATCTCATAATAAGGATTTCTTTACTTTTCACGGATCTTGATTAAAAAGAAAGATTATTCGCATCTCTTCTGTTCTAAATGCAGCCGCCTCATCACTGAAAATAATTGTGGCTACTGGAGGCAGATATTATCTATGTTTGTTTCTCTGTTTTTTTACCCCAAGGAGAGTCCAGCATTTCTGCTACAAAATGAACAATACTACTTTAAGAGCAAAATATGCATTTGAAGTTTACATCACCAGCAATATAAACACCATTGCACCCCTGCTGTGTATAAAAAGTATCTGGCCACAGTGACTGTCCCAGGGATAGAGAACAACTCTGAGTGAATTTGCGATACACAAACTGTTCCCTATCACTTTCAGTTTGCACCTCATGGGATAGCTCTGATATCACTTACTGGGTGTTATACATGGTACTATTTCAAGTAAAAACACACTGTGTTTCTGTTTCTATTAAAAAACATCTGAATAGCTGTATTGATACTTCATTGGAAATGAGATCAAACACCCATTTAATTCCCTATATAGGTACAGGACGAACTCTGTGATTAGGACTGTCCTAAATTATGTTCAGGTTGTTTCTTGCACAAAGAACTCATGCAGAGAGGATGAGTGAGGTCTGAAATCTAACCTGTACTCCACTTGTCAAGTATTGTACCTTGTTGGCTTGGAGGAAGGGGCATATTTATATAATTTTTCTGCCTAGAGATGATGGAGGGCTTTACGCTTACCATGGCCCTGTCAGTGACTGGACAACATTAGCCATCACAAATGAACTGTACTTTTTCAATATGTGCTGAACACTCGCCAAGGACAGATTATGATACAAACTCTCTACTAGGATTTGGTGGTACAAAAATAAACAACATTTACAATGTCTTCTAATCCACTTATATCCAGTTTAAATTTCAGTGTGTTTTGCAGAATGTCTGGTGGGGAAAACACCATTTAGTTTTTCAAACTGTGTTCTGTTCAGAATACTGAAGGATTCATGCAGCTCTGTTTGTACTAAAATGAAGAGGGAAGGGAGAAAAGAGATAAAATCTTTTGCCATAGAGGAGGAGTTATCCAGGGTTACAACCACGGAGTTGTTTTTAGATGAAGAAAATAGTATTTTGATAATTAGCAACATAATATGAATGTAAGAAAGATTTCCACAACTGAAGAAAATGGCAATGATTTACAGTGTTTAACCAATTTAAAGACAGAGGAATACTTAGTGTAGTTTTCTACCTGGAGCTGTGTAAGATAAGGATAATGGCGTGACTGAGATCAAAGCCTAGGAAAGAATTATCAGAATTATTTAAAGCTTTTTTAAAAATGAATGACATAGAAAAGTGGACATGTGCAAATGAAACAAATCAGTCTTTGTGTTTTTCTATGGCATTTAGGAGAAAGCAAATTGCTGTGAACTACTCAGAAGAGTGAAAAGTTTCATATTTTTCTAATGGAATATTTGAGAGAGAAAATCAAACAGATTTGGGTAGGAGACTTCCTGAGAATTCTCACAGTGTTTAGAATTGCTAACATCTAGACTAAGCTGAACCACACTGATAGATTTTACTCGGGAAGGCCTTTGTTTTCTAATGATCGGTCAATTCAATTTTTTACTGTAGTAAGCACATTTAACATGAGCTCTCACCATTTGACATGTTCAACTGTACAATACATTACTATAAACTATAGGCATGATATTGTACAGATCTCTAGAATGTATTCATCTTGCATAACTGAAACTTTATGGGGAGTTTCTCTTCACCAAGATAACATTTTGGGGGAATATGAGAGACGATGAATGCACAAGCATCAGTGCAGACTTCTTAGGTGTGACTCTTAGCTTTGCCCCTAACATGTTATGGGACATTACCCAGTGGTTCTGGGACTCTGTTTACTTATTAGAAAAATTAGATAGGTAAAATGAGATGTCCTTTTCTCAATGTTATGAAAACTTAATTAGTTAATACATCTAAAATAACATGGTGTCTATGCAGTAATACTGATATTATTATTATTTCCTAAGCACCTACATGCCAAAGAACTCACACATTTGACCTTTGAAATATAAAATTCATACATAGGAGAAAGAAGTGCTCACCAAAGGTAGAATTTTCAATAAAAGTTATGGAGAAATAATTAGTATTCTCTCAAAATCAGTTCCTTTTGGGGGTAAAGAGTTAATTACAAAGGGACAGCATGAGAAAATTTTAGAGGATAGTGGTTAACTGCCTTACTGTGAGGGTGGTTACACAACTTTATGCATTTGCCAAAGCTAGAAAATTGTACACAAGATAGTTAATTTTACTGTGGTAATGAAAACACCCTGAAACCATGGCAAACTATGCCCATTAAGAAAATGAGAAAGGGAGGAAGAGTAATCTGCAGGAATAAGATTATTCCTTAAATAACTTTAAAGGGAGGATAGATTGGCATGATTAAGAGCTATGGCTGGAGCAGAGACAGGAATGTTGGGGACGTGTCAATAGCATTTTCCAAAAATTTGTTTTCTTCGTTTGTCGCTTAGTGTTCATTCCCATAACTAAGTTGGGAAGAGTGTAATTCTTAAGTCGAAGGTATTAGCAGATTTTGAATAATGCCTAACAGCACAGGTGGATATCATTTTGAGATCTTCTGCTTCCCAATAGGGATCTGAAAAGCAGCCTGAATGATTCAACAGCTTAAAAATATCCTCATGCTTCCAAGTGAATCCGGAGTAGTGGAATCAACCTACAGCATCAAAACTAATCTAGCGCCTCTAAGACATTCATTAACATGAAACAGAAAATGAATCTAGTAGTTATAAGATACCTATTGTTATGATAAACAAAATTTATATGGGTATCTTATTTATTAACTGTTTTTGTAGAATTTTTTATTGTTTATACTAGCTACCATAGAGTATTAAGTGTTTGTGGGCACAATAAAGATATTTTTTGCTTGAAAGAGGCAAAATATTTGAAATGGTATTCATTTCTTATATAAGAAAACTTTAATTTCATTCTACTTATTTTACCTACAAGAGTTCCAGTTTTATGCACAGGTGGTTATTTCAAAAGGGAAGTGCAAAGTTCTCCAGATGTTCTATGTGACCAAATAAAACCTAGTACTAGTAATGAATGTTCAAAACACAGAGTAGGTCTATGAGTGATGTTTAACTTCTAAATAGTATGTGGATGACACTCAGGTGATGGGTATTCACTAGTTTGTATGACATCACATAAATCATGTTAGTCCTAATACTCACACGGCTATTATTTCCTTAGTGGACCCAATAACCAGAAGCCCAGAACCCCAGGGTTTCCATAGGCTTTCTGAAGACTTCTGTGAGGTAGGTAAATAGTGATTTTTTTTCTAAGAGATGAAGCCTTGCTATGTTTCCCAAGCTGAAGTTTAGTGGTTATCCACAGATACAATCAAAGCACATCTCAGCCTCCATCTCCTGGGCTCAAGCAATCCTCTCACCTCGCCTCCCAAATAGTTGGAATTATAGGCATGCTACTATCATACCTGGCTCAATAACTTTTTTTTTAAGTGACCAGAAATATCCCCTACATATATTTCTGAGAAATTACTGCTGCTCAAGGAAATTTAGGCATTCAATATCCCTTTTGGGTTGTTGTAACTGAGTGTTGAAAATAAGATGAGTGGCAGAAGATGTAGGAAAAGAGTAACAAATCTGCAGTTAGAGAACTAAAGAAAAAAGAAGGAAAAAAATGCATGAACACCAGTCACTTATATCAATATAGACCTAAAGGAATATGACCAAAGGTAGAGATGGTCAAAAAGGCCAATTTTTAGTGAGTAGTTTTCTTAGTTCATTTGAGACTGCTATAACAAAAAATACCATAAACTGGGTAGCTTACAGAAAACAGAAATGTATTTCTCACAGTTCTGGAAGCTGCAGGGTACAAGAAAAAGTTGACGGCAGATCCTGTGGCTGTGGAGAGCCTGCTTCTCAGTACTTAGATGTTGCCTTCTGGCTGTGTCCTCACATTGTGGAAGGCGCCAGCTAGCTCTCTAGGGTCTACTTTATAAAATCACTAATCCCATTTACAAGGGCTTTACTCTCATGACCTAATAATTTTCCAAAGTCCCACCTCTTAATACTATCATATTGTTGATTAGGGTTCAACACATAAATTTCAGGGAGACACAAATATTTAGACAATAGCAGCAATTATTCCTTGAAGAAAACAAGTTTATTCAGCTTGTCCATCTCTGTGCTGACAATTGTTGGAAGAAATAATAATGTCAATATTAATAAGAGCTAACATTTATAAAGTACTTGCTGTGTGCCAGGCATAATTGATACAAAGATCAGAAGTATGAGTCTTACATATGTTTAGAAAATCTATCAATAAGGTATGTACTCTAAACATTACTGTTTCCTGATGACAGCCTAAGTGCTTGCTTTCTAGTATTATACAACGTTCATTTCATGGTTTTTAAAGAATGATCATTGCTTAGAACTTGAACAAAAGTCAACAACAGTATTGGTGGAGTGGATTGTCAAAATCGTATTATACATACATGTACATATACATTTAGATAAACATACATATTATTATAATATATATGCAATATGCTTATTATTTTTAAAATAATTACCTGGTTGGCATTTGCAAACATATCCATTGATGTGATCTTCACAGTTTGCACCATGTTGACATGGTGATGAAGAGCATTCATTTATATTAATTTCACAAAATTGACCAGAAAACCCAGGAAGACATCTAAGGGGAAAAAAAATAAAAAAATTTGCATATGTTATACACATGAGCAATATCACTTTTCATCTTGGGATTCCATCATTCAAACATGTTGTCAGAGCTCCAACAACATATAGCTGGGAGCCTGCCTTGGGGTGACAATGAGTTGAATTGTGGCCCCAAAACAATATGTATAATACTTAACACTAAATATCTGTGAATGTGACTTTATTTGGAAATGGCGTCTTTGCAGATTTAGTATCTTGAGATGAAGTCATTCTGGATTAACTCGGTGGGCTCTAAATCCAGTGACAAGTGTTCTTACAAGCACAGAAGACCACAGGGGAGAAGGCCATGTGAACATGCACATAAAGACTGATGTTATGCAGTCCTAAGTCAAGGAACACCCAGAGCCTCTAGAAGCTGGAAGAGGAAAGATCAAATTTTCTCCTAGAGTTTTCAGAGGAAGCATGGCCTTGCTGACACTTTAATTTTATTTCTGATCTCCAAAACTATGGACAAATACATTTCTGTTCTCTTAAACTAATGAGTTTGTGGTAATTTGTTATGTCATTCCTAGGAAACTAATACAGAGATTATATTATTGCATGTATCTGCTTAAATCCAAGTGAACTATTTGAAAATAAATAAAACAGAGGTCTCTAGGAGACTCTTAAATGGAGCAATTGGGGGCATGTCATGAAAGGTATGCTCCATAATTGGAAGATGAGATAAGGAAAGAGTCGATAGGTCAGAGATTATTGTACCTCCTCTTATTATATTTTAGGGATGCTTTAATATAAACCATTTAGATGTCAGCTGTTAAACCATGCTTCAAGAACTGATGGAGGATCCACAATATTGATTAAAGTGAATTGTCCATAGCTATAGGTACAGATTTGTCAAGTGCCTACAACATGTAGCTATCTTATGAATGCTAAGGCTACAAACAAAAGTAAAACTCTGCATCCGCCTTCAAGAAGCACCGAGCCTAGTTGGGAAAATAGACAAGTAGCTGACACAATTATATGATAAATGCTATAATCAGCATATAGAGGAACGTATTTTTATCATGGCAGAGTATATTCAAGGGCAAGAATAAGAAAGGAGTGTGAGTTAATCCAGAAATTGCAAGTAGTTCTAAATGGTTGAAATAAAGCACAATCTGGGGTGATGCTGATGAAAAAGGATAAATTAAATAAATAGAAATTTGATCATTATATAGTATTGAATCATAAATTTTACCACAGCTAATATTTACTAAAAACTTATTCACAATATATAACTTTACCAAAGTCGCAAGACTAGCAAATTTGCAAAAGTAGAATTTGTTGGTCTGTACTAATCAGCTAGCCAAATATAGCCACTCTGTTTTATTTGGATACACAGTTGCTGAGGTGATATAAAAATTAAGTTCTGTTTTTCACTGCAACTGGGTCTACCCAGCTGAAGCTAGGTAACTGTGAATTTTAGACAATCCAGAATGTTAGTAACTCCACTGTGCTAGATCCTTACCTAACTGAAGACTTCCCTGACCAACAAACAATAAGACTTTCCTTTACTGTAGGTGGATTTATGGACGGTCGGATTTTGCACTGTCAAGATGAAATCTTCAGCATTTGAATTCCCACTGCCACAGTGAACCTCCCCATCTTTGTAGCAAAAAGAAACCCAGAGCAGTTTATTTTTTTTTAGAGGAATTCATCACTAGTGGTTTACTCTCATATGCAAAATAAGCTTATATGCAAAATAAACTCAGGGCTCATTTTGTTAATAACTGAAGTGTTCATTGTCTTTCCTTGAATATCACAAATTGTTCTTCAAGAATAAATTATCAATATATTTATTTTATTTATTTTTGAGACAGATTCTTTCTCTGTTGCCCAGGCTGGAGTGCAATGCAGTGGCCTGATTATCGCTCACTGTAATATAAAACTCAAAGTAATCCTCACACCTCAGCTTCCCACCTATAGTTCACATGGGACTATAGATGGTATGCACCAATACACCTGCCTAATTTTTGTGTATGTGTTCATTACATAAAATGGACATTTTCTGTGTGTCCATAATATAAAATGGGTCACGCTATGTTGCCCAGTCACATTATCAATTTACATTCTTGGCAGAGTTATGTAAAATGTCCATTTGTCTACGTTCTTACCTATGAACAATATTAACATTTATTTTAATTTCCATTGCAAAGAAAAAAAACTACTTACCTAATATATATTTTTTAAAGAGGATAGTTTAAAAAAATTAATGGAATTTGTATTTTGCTATAATTTTAGGGATAACAGAAAAGTTGCAAGGGTAGCACAGAATGTTCTCATAGACTCTGTATCCAGTTTCCTTTATTGTTAACATCTTACGTTCACATGGTATGTTTGTCACTAGTGACACAATATTACATTATTATTAACCAAAGTCTATGTATTGTTGCAGTTTCCTTAGCTTTTACCTAATGTCTTGTTTCTGTTCAAGAATGCTGTTCAGAATACCACATTCCATTTAGTTGCCATGTCTCCTCAGGCTCCTTTAGGCTGTAATATTTTCACACACTTCCTTGTTTTTGATGACCTTGACTGTTTTGAAGAGCATTGGTCAAGTATTTTGTAAACTATACCTCAATTTAGGTTTAATATTATTCCCATGGTTACACTGGTGTTACAGGTTTCTGAGAGAAAGACATCATAGAAAAGGCTCTCATCACATTATATCAACATTACTCTTTAGAGGGAAGTTGCTTTGCACATCCCATGCTTAAGAGATGAGGAGTCAGGCACACCTTTTTAAAAGAGAAGTGCCTATATAAATAATTTGAAATAATTTCTTCATATATATTTTTAAAATATTTTCCGGAATTTTGAGTGAAATGGCTTTGAATCTATAAATCAAGTTGTAAGAAATAATATCTTAACGATATTGATTTTTTCAATTTCTGTTGAGAAATATTTCTCCAGTTACACATATCTTCTTTGGTTTCTTTTAGATATTTTACGGTTTTCTACATAGAGATATTATAATTATTTTATTAGATTTATACCTAAATGCTTCATTTTTGTTTACTGTTCTAAGTGGTATATTTGTTTTGTTTTATGTTTCTTCTTTCCAATATTCCAGTGTTCATTACTGGAAAGCAATTGACTTCAGTATGATGATCTTATATCCTGCAAACCTTGTTACACTAGCTTATTAGGTCCAAGATCTTTTTGTCAAAAATAGTAGATAGTAGAGTTTTCTATAGAGAAAATTATCTTCTACAAAGGTAATGATTGCATCTGTTCTGTTTGCATCAACAGATAAAGACTGTTCTGTTTCTTCCTGTTCAATCTGCATACCTTTTATTTCTATTCCTCATCTTATTGCAGTCAGTAGGACTTCTAGTAGGATATTAAATAGCAGTGTTGTGAGAGGAAATGCTTTCTTGTATCAAATCTGAAGGAGAAAGGGTTTAGTTTTCATCATTAAGAATGATATTAGCTGAGTTATTTTTTAAGTGCAGCTTTTATTAGGTTAAGGAGGTTATCTTTTATACTTAGTTGTTGTTTTGTTTTGTTTTGTTTTGTTTTGTTTTTCTGAGATGGGGCCTCTCTCTGTTGCCAGGCTGGAGTGCAGTGGCGCGATCTCAGCCCACTGCAAACTCTGCCAACCAGGTTCAAGCAATTCCCCTGCGTCAGCTTCCGGAGTAATTGGGACTACAGACTTGCGCCATCACGCCCACCTATTTTTTTGTTTGTTTGTTTTTTGTTTTTTGTTTTTTTGTATTTTTAGTAGAGACGGGATTTCACCATGTTGGCCAGGATTGTCTCGATCTCCTGACCTCATAATCTGCCGGTCTCAGCTCCCCAAAGTGCTGGGATGACAGGCGTGAGCCACCGCGCCAGGCCTATTCTTAGTTTTTCTGACAGTTTTTATGAGTGGAAATGAGGTTTTGTCAAGTGATTTTTTGTGCATCCATTAAGATCATTATATGGTTTTACTTACTCATCTGTTGATATATAATCATATAGATTAAATGATATATGATATGATAATGATTGATACAGGCATGTGTATTTTTCTTGATCAAGTGTTAATATAGTGAATTATACTGAATGTTTTACGAATGCTAAGGTTTGCTTTCCTGGAATGAACTCCACTTGCTAATTTCAGGGTGTGTTAACGCAGTCATCTTCTTGTTTTTGCAAAGAGCCTATGATTTCAATTTTAAACCCTTAACGTTAAACTTTTACTCTTCGTTCCTTCAAGGTTATGTGAATGGAGGAAAGATTTTGAAAATACTTATAAAACAGAAGTGCATAACAATTTATAACCCTATGTTTCACAAAACTATTTACACAATGATCTGTAAAAATGTATAACATGTGGGGAAATTGTGCTACTTATATTGATATTATAAGCAGTTTTATCCCATACATATTTATTCACTTTATAAACATTTTAATAGAATGTCCGACAGATTGAAATTACATACTGAACTTGTTTATACAAAAGGATTTGTTAAAAACTGTTAAACACTACTACATAATGACACTGTCACACTGGGCTTTTAACATAAGAATTGCTCTGCAATACTAAGAGAAGGGGCATAAAAGGCAAGTTGATTTTTCAGCATAGCAACTAAAAAATACAATAACGAAAACAATTGTTAAAAATGAGAACTCAGAACTTAACATTAGAGGGACCCAACGTCATGCTTCCATTTAGCTTATTGATACAAAAGATTTAGTTTAACTGCTATGAACAGGTGACAGGAGCCACTCTCAAATGATTCTTCAAATTGGAAAGTGCTGTCTTACAACCTGTTGTTGCAGATAAGAAGTAAATGAAATTATTTTGTATGGTTTGCAGCTGTTTGCATAACCAGCTGGCCTGAATACTTTCCCATAACCATTCTGGTAGTCACCACTTATTACCAAAGCCCTTCCTGAAAATCCTCCTTTAGGCCCTCACTATTGTTGTTGATACGTTCCTTTGATACAGCTGCTTTTATTTCATTTATTAAGGCCAACATGGTAGTATTTATTTTTCATTATTTTCTTCATTTGTTTCTGTTCCTTAAAGATAATGCATAGCCCATGTCCCTGTTGGTCTTGTCCATGGGAATTTTATAGATTTTACCACTCCAAAAACAGCATTTGGTTCATTTATTATGATAAATTATGAGGCATATAACAAAGTAATTCTCCAGAATTATTTTATTTATTAGACAAATGTGTCTGGTATCATACAACTGAAGTAAGAAAGAATAAGAAGCGTTCAAAAACTGAATTTTCATCCTCCACAATCTATTCTATTCAGAAACCTTTTTTTATTTTTTGAGATGGATAATATTTTAATTTAAATGGGACTTAATTCAAGTTACAAACACTCACTAAATTCTTATTTGCCTTTGAAATATTTACATTTAAAAAGGATTAAATTTATACTCTATTTATATTACATTTATAATTTCTAATAGCCCTTTTGCTGGGCTTTGATAATAGAATTGACAGTTTAATAATTGTCAAGGAGGGAACAATG